ATAGATCCTATCTTAGTGAGATGGAAGTACCTTCATATCACAAAATATTTTATGTTTTAACTTACATTTATTGGGCTTAAATGAAGCCATATAAATAAGGTGGGTCTTTGGGGAGGTGAGGCAAGATGCTGTGAAATAGGTACTTCTAAAAGCATAGTAATATTAAAGTGTTAAATTTGGAAAACAGCAGAAACTTTAGTTTTCATAATATTATAAAATTATAAAGGTAAAGCCTGACTACATCTTGGATGAGCCTATTTAGAAGGTGAAATTATCAGAATCATAGAGGCAAGTAGAACTGATTTTAATATTTAGCAAAAGAAGGCATGCATCAGTTTCAAAAGTTTGAGAAGCATGGCCTGAAATGCTTTCCCAGTTTCTACCTTCCTGGCACTTTAAGAAATATATCAAGGACCCGAGAATTATGGAATTCTATGTTAGCAAATAATTCTGCATGAGTTATCAAGATGGGCATAGATTTAGGTACAGGAATATTTTTATCAGATTTATTTATCATTGTGAAATTTGGGAGAAAAATCTGTGTCCACCAAAGGAAAATAAATAAAGAAATTATACATACATGTATCAAAAAATTATATCCAACAATCAAAGATCATGTTTTGGAAAAGAGTTTAATGTCATAGTAAAATGATCAGGAAGAAAAAAAAAGTGGTAATGATTCAATATTTAAAGACACACATTTACACATAGAAAATATTTGGAATCCGTACAACTGCTTCAGAGAGCAATTTGGCAGTATCTGTAAAGTGGAAAATGTGCAGATCTATTAACATGATTGATATACCAATAGATGAATAGTTGTATAATCATATGATAGAATACAATTTCAAAGTTAGAAATTCATAAGTTGGACTCCTCTATCTGCAACCGAGATAGATCTGTGTACCTCAACAGAGATGGCTCTCAAAACAAGTTGAATTTTAGAAAAGCAAGTTGCAGAATTATATGTACTATATACCAGTACTTACATAAAATTTCAAAATACATATGACACTAAATATTGTTTATATATAAATATGTAGAAAATAAAAACATTAAAACATGGCCTGAAAGGATACGGACAAGAATCATAATACTGGTTGCCTCTGGGGTGGAAGGGAAGGGATTGGGGCTGAAAAGGAAAATGGGAGGGGAGTGGAGGATAGTATTTAACTTCGTCTGTGATGTTTTCATCTTATTTTTTAAAATAAGCAAAAATGGCAAAATGTTTACATTGTAAATTTAGAGTATTGGTATGTTGTTGTTTATTAAACTCTTTTTTTATATAAGCTTTTAAAACTTTCTAAAAACAAATGATCGACAAAACCATATCATTGGTTCCGTATACATTTTAGGATATTTTTGTTTCTGTGAAGAATGTCATTGGTATTTGATTCAGATTGCATTGAATCTGTAGATCGCTTAGGGTAGTATTGTCATTTTAACAATATTAATTCTTCTAATCTATGAGCATGGAATATCTTTCCATTTATTTGTATCCTCTTCTATTTCTTTAATCAGAGTTTTATAGGGGTTTTTTTGTATTTTTCAATGGTTATTATTCAGCAGTTATACTACAGTTCAGTTATTATTTTCATCTTCAAACTTCTCTGTATATTCCAAATTCACAAGATGAATATTGAGGGAAAAAATGCCACTTAGCAGATAAATGATAACTATATTGGATTTTTGCCATGAGGTATTCCTAAGACCCTTACAATTGTGCTGCCTCTGGAAGGCTGAAGTGGCAGCAAAAAAGAGATGATTATCCCATACCCCATCCCCAAACCCTGGACCAAAGAAATGAGAGGGCTGGCTTCCTGCAAGATGTAAAACAGCAAAACCAGCCTTTTCTTGGGAAGAGAGGCAGACAGATTAGGGTGTCAGTCTTGATCAGGCATCAAACTTTGAACAGGCACCAGAACAAGCACCTAGAGGATTTACAAAAAAATAATTGTCAAAGAGTTTCTGATTGATAAAGTCTGAGGTTGGGCATCTAAATTTGTGTTATTGACAAGTTCCCAGGTGTTACTGGCAATAATGATGTTTGTCCCAAAACCATATTAGAGAGCTGCTGGTTTAAGCAAAACCCAGCCATCAGATATTGGTATTTTTGATTACTGAAACGTGAGGGAGCATTTGGATTCCTGTCAAATGTTATTATCTGGCAGATCCGCAAATTACTTAATGGAGTGAGCCAGCCAGTCTCAGAGAATTTGGAGCCACATGCAAGAGCAGACAA